TATAACAATTACATGACCTAATCCACAATAGTAGTAAGCATGGTGTACTGTAGTGCGATGAAAAAAACCCAATTTCGGTCCTCTTGCTCAAACGTTAAGAAACGGTGACTGCTTTTGATAAACCTAAACGTTCTTTATTAACACATTCTTATGGTGCTGAAAAAAGTCAAATTTCTGCATTTTAAAAATATACTAGGGAATACTAGTAGTCAAAAATATACATTTAAAACTCCTACATGACATTAGTTGTGCTTCTCCCCTGTCCATTTCTTCCAATGTAAACTTAATATTGTCAGTGATAAACCCTGCTCAAGTTCCTCGAAACTCCGAAACACTATGTTAACTGCATAGGAAAAGACATATGCTGACATCTTAACAGATAAATTAGGACTACTGCAAAACGCTTTCTAAAACCCGATCCTGACTTACACGTCTCGCCACACCTTTCAGGTGTTCCATGGACAAGTTGCACTGTCACAAGGACATATAAATAAGCGAATGTTTTCTAAATAAATCAGAATCTACCGCAGATCAATGAACCTGCCACTGATTTAAATAACTTAGTTTACAACTACACGTACGAACAGTCAATCTACGATCGATTCTTCTTTTAATCCATTTCGCTCCTTAGTTTGATTTTAAACGCTACTCTCAAGCTACAATATGCTTCTTCGTAAATTCGTTGAGAGAATTTTGTGTCAGACTAGTTCTCTCTGGGTTGATAAGTTTATCCATTCTCATCAGCTATTCGCTATATTTTGTAAGAACCATATCATGTTGCAAGGTACAGGACATGTTAACTGATCAATTTTGAGCTTTCTTGGTGAGGTCCAATTTTCAAGTCACCATCATTTAGAATTATAAAAAAAGGGGGAATTTTTCAACAATCTTGACCGTGGTTGCAAATACAAAATCGGCAGAAACTTATTTAGAAGTAAACAAAATATAAATATCATTGTGTTCTTTTCCTATGTTTGGAAGACTGGCACTGTGCACAAAGCTTTAAATAAACATTGCCACTAAATAGAGGTACATATCATGTTAACTGATCGATTTTGAGCTTTCTTGGTAGGGTCCAATTTTCACGTCACCAATATTGAGAAGTACAGGAAAGGGGGAATTTTCCAACAATCTTGATTGCGGTTGCAATTACAAAATCGGTAGAAATTTTTTAAGAAGTAAACAAAATATAAATATTATTGACCATGCACAAAGCTTTAAATAATCATTGTTACTAAATCAAATAACGTCCATGTTACAAATCAAACTATGAGTTATTGCACCCTCAAGTGTTCCTTAAATACATTAAATAGTTCAAAAAAGGTCATGAACGGTCTCAAACGGCTTGCATCAATTAAAAGTATGCTACGCAAGTTCTACATGTAAGCAAATATTATTCAAGTTGAAATTCGTGATGGTGCTACAAAAAAAAATTGTAAGAAAACAACAACAACAACAACTTTCCAGTTCCTAGAGTTCATTGTGTTGCGACCAAGGTGTATTTAAACTTCTTCTTCTCCTCCTCCTATTGTTCGGGAACGTGATTACAAAACGATTCTTGTCGACGGAGCTCTAAGAAACAAAACAAGTTGATAGTACATTTTCCATTGAGTGAAGGTCAGTTTGAGGTTGAGCAGCATGAGCAACAACCTATTATTCATTTATTATATTGCACGACATCCCGGGTTTCGAGTGTCACCAAAGAGATTCGCGAGACCCGCGATGTCGGGAAGTCACAATACGACGTTTAAACGCTAAACGAGGGCTCGTATCCTTAAAAATTTGCCCTTCCTCAGTTGTTCAAAGGGTTATGTCACCTGGTCTTAATAGATCCCTAGGACTAGTCATTTCGGCAACCAAAATACCATGATAGGAACAGCTCTTAATTATCGCAGATCACGAGCCATCAAACACGTCACTCACCGCGACGAAACTTGCTCCGCCCATTAGATTTCCATGGTAACCATTTCCTGCTTGATCAAGAATGACTGAATCAGAAGTCTCGTCCATGTTGAAATGCGCTCTGACCACGCCCTTATGGATGGGTAACAACAGGCCGGCAGTTTTCATGTAATTGGCAATCTCCGCATCTTCGACGTACACCCCCCACAGAGTCAACTGTAGGAAATGAATAAAGGGACAAGTTTATAAGTGCTTAAGCCCCAACTTAAGTTGAAATATGCCGTTAAGCATCGAGTTTGTTACACACTACATAGGTTGGCTAGACGATCAAACATTTGCTCATGACGCAGAACGTTAAGAAGCAAAGTTTGATAAAAAAAAATCTAAAAAATCAAACGGGTTCTTCCATCAAGATGGTGGACAAAAATGTTTGATTTTTTAGCCGAAGCCTTTCCTTAGCTTGAAAGAGGTCTAAAAACATAAATCAGCAACATCCAATAATTCTTCAGTTGATGAGCAATAGAGAATTATAATGAAAAGAATCGCTTACCTTGCGCTATGCAATAATTCAGTTGTTTTTGTTAAGAGTGTCGAAAGTATACACAACATAATTTTAATTGCACCTTACTCGCTTGACTCTACTAGCTTGCCGTAGACAACAATCGACATCTGTTCCGGCGGGCGCACGTGCGGTATTTCGAATGAATAATTATTGATACGGGTACATATCGATCAGCCGTATGGATACTAGCCAACGCAAACTGGGTGCGAATTGTCTGAATTTTGGTAGGAATCGACTGGGTACGAGACGACCGTAGGTGCGAAGCGACCGTGGTTCGAAACTACTGGATACCGATTGTTACATAGTTAGAGTAATAAGTTGTCCTGCGTAGATATCTGCGATAACTCATGCACACTAACGACTCCATTCGAATAAATCGGAGCCATGGCTTTATTGACATCAATCAAACTGTTGCAAAGTCCTACTCATTGGAAGTAACTACTCATCAACCGTGATAAATTTTCTCCGAAAACTCAGAGGGTAAATGAAAAGACGAAAGCAACCTAAGGACGAAATACACTTACGTCATCCACAGTTCCATTCAGGTAGTTACTATTGTCACGCCCAACATATAGAAGATCACTAGAAGACTGAAAGAGAGAGAAAATATATTTCTAACTTCTACAAAGTCATGGAGAGGAGAGAGAGACTAAATACGTAAATTTACAACAGAGAAAAATTTTACCCTGTGTTCTTTTTTTAGTTTAATAGCTTCAATTTATTCCTTTTATCCCACTCGACTACAACGGAAATACCCTAATTTTTGAAAAAATGTGTGTTCTTCTCTAACCCTTAACCCAAATATCAGTATGCACATTCTCCATACCGTTCTCTATACATTTCCTAAGGCGCTCAAGAAGACAATTTGTTTCAACAATGGAGAACTTCTTTGGTTGGCGATCATTTCCTCTATTATAGTGACCTTAAGTGTGATTCCGGGGTGATATTGTAAGGACAAATTAGGTGCTTGTCACTCCCCATGAGTTGGTCAGGTCCGAGGCTGAAAGCTCGCCGTCGTACACAGAAGTACGACCCTCTCTTGTTTGAGTTATACAGGCAGGAGTCTTTCCTTCATTTTTTTTATCGCGTAACCTTAAGAAACATTAGAGATGAGCAAAAGTTACAAAGAGACCTACCCAGGTGTGTGGCAATACATCGCTTTGTGATCCAACGGATGAACCGTTCACAAAAAGCTTAAGTTCGTAGGCTGAAATTGAAAAGTGAGGGATTATTTTCTTTTTTAAGAATTACTTCATGCTAAACAATTTCAAAATATAACGTTTCGCTTCTCGTAGATCAGTATGCAAGTCAACCGTTCTTCCAAAGTAAGTATGAATAATACTAAAAGACATTAGCCTCTAAGATCAGCTTTCATCTATTACTGCGTCCGATGCATTCGTCTGTCCATCCGTCCATCTGTGCATTTGACAAATTAAGTGACTTATAAACTGATAGAGAGAAAGAATGAGTGACTTACACATGTACAGACTGGTAACTAACTGATTGCCGAACTTTCTGACTGACTGGCTAACTGACTGATTGACTAGCCGACTGCCTGCCTGATTGACTCGATGGCTGACTGATTGGCGCACTAGTTAGTTAGTAGGCTTTTTGACAGATTGAATAGCTACTTTTCTGACTCTACTGACTCTACTGAGTGAGTAGCTGAGTGAGTGAATGACTGTCTAACTGACAAACTGACTGGCTGTCTGACTTACAGGCTACCGGAATAAATTAAATACTGGATGACTGGCTCCCTGCCTGCCTATCTAACAGTCATGTCAATTCAT